GCGTCGGCATAGGAGACCGCAATGTCGCAGGAAGGGCCGCGCAAGTCCAGGAAGGGCAGAAAGTCCTGCCAGAGGCGCTCGAAGGCAATGCCCACGGGAAGTTGCAAATCACAAAGCTCCCGCAGCAAGGCCCCATGTCGTGCCATAGCAGGCAAGGCCAAGTCAGGGATGTGGTGCGCGCTGTGCGGACGGTGGAGAGTCAAGGCGGTGGAAGACTGCACGGCGGAAATATGTGCTTGCAATTGTGTGCTATCCCATGAGTGCCCGTCGCGGCGAGCCAAAGCAAAGAAACTATATGCGCGCAGGGCCGCGCCAAAATAGTTGGCTGGCCGAACGCGCCAAAAGAAAGGCCGACCGCAAACGGAAGCCCGTATGAGCAGACAGGTTTCATCAGAAGTCGACTGGAGGCGACAGGTCAGAGCGTGCCAAACATAGCCAAAATCCGCAAGAGAGAGGGTGCCACTGGCAACGGCAGGATCGCGACCGAGCAAAAAACACAAGAGCCAGGCGAGATCACTGGGCTGCTGCAAACGCAACTGGAAACGCTTGCTTTTGTACTGAAAAGTGTACAAAGCCATCGCCTGCGAGGCGGAACAAAGGAGAGGAGACTAAATCGTCACATCTACGAATTTCAATCAAAGTGCGCATTAATCGTGACGCAACGCAGCAAGACCCCAGAAACATCACTTCAACCCGAAACGTGGCAACAAGGAACCCCGGCGCTCCTAAACCTCAACCCGGCAGCAAACCTCTGATCCGGACATGCCTGGTTGACTGGTGTAGCCGCAGTCCCGTCGTCGACAAACTCCTGATTCCCAGGGCTGCTTCAGGTTTACAGCTTACGAGTGAATGCGGGTGCCGAAACTTGCCTTGACTTGCCAGAGCTTCAGGGCCCTTCGGTGCAAAGCTGCAAAGAACCCCTCCGCTCCCACATCTCAACTCGAAATGCCACCCTTGATCTGGACATGCCTGGTTGGCCAATGGTGTCAGCAGGTCTCGTCGACCACAGGCTCCTGGACTAAAGCTGCTTCACGTTTGCGCCTTACGAGTGCGTGCGGTGGTGAAATCGTGCCTTGGCTTCGCAGAGCTTGAGGGCTCCTCGGTGGAAGGTCCTTCGGGTTTACAGCCTACGTCGTCGTCGAGGAATCAAAATGTTCATCGCCTCGCTGTTGGACGCAGTACTGCGAGGAAGGAGGAAGGAGCAAGCCAGGTCGCCTGCTAGCATGTGCCGTCCCGCTTCCATCAGTTTACGAACCGCCCCCGGAGGATGGACACCGCATTGCATCAACTTGAAATGTGTGATAAGCAAACTCTGCAGCAACGGCACAGCCGCAGCAGCAGCAGCAGCAGCTGCAATACGTCTTCGTGTCATAGTGTAAGCTCCCTGGCCTCGCAGTTGGACACGGCTCGACGTAACTTGAGCCAGGCCGCAATGCAGAAGCAAGACACGCACTGAAACTATGCCAATCAGTCGCCGAACGTCAGACACAAACAAAACCAAGGGACCTTGAGGAGGGGGGGGGGCCCCCCCCCACCTTATCCCAGGCACAACCACCTTAAAGCAGGGGGGGGAGGGGGGGGAGGGGGGGGGAGGGAAGCGCACCTTATCAGTGGAAAACGCATAATGACAAGGTGAAGGGGGGGGGCCCCCCCCCCCTACCCCCCACCTTAACTCTTGGACGTCCCACCTGATAAGGTGCAAACCCTGTTTTTTCCCTAGTACCTTAATACAAGTGAATTGCTAAAGGGCAACTCCCGCGAGCTCCACAGAGCTAGCTTTCGTGACAGTTTTGCGAATCCAACCCTGCAACCAGGATGTCTAGCGTCAAAATGCATGTGACGCAAAGCGGAGAGCTGTTGTTCAGTACTAGCTTCAATGCGCATTTGGCATCTTTCGCAAATCCCGACATGAAACTTGGGCATGCTAAACTTAGCACCAGCAACCTTCAACCCAGCAGAGTCCACAGAGACATCACGGCGAAAAGTGCCCGTGCTCCGTGTTCGAGAAAGCAGACGAAACGTATCTTTACTTACGTAATCGTCTCCGGATTTTTCAGAAGGCAACCTCTTCAAACAATGGAAACGCAAGAGGAAGTAATCTGGGAGCCAAGCACAAGTTTGCTCGCGACTTGCTTCCTAGTCGGAGTACGGGATCATCTCAGCAACTCTCCTCCTGCCAGAGCCAGGAAGCGACTCCTGACAGTTTTTGCTCCACCTTCACCCCTAAAATTGTTGCGTTTCGTTCCATGCGTATGGCATTTCTCCTCCACCTGTCATCACTCACAAAACACTTTGGTGCAAACAAGCTTCACACAACAAGCTGCTTCGTTGCAGGCATGTCTGTGCTGTCAAACGTCTGCACCAAGCTTCCAGGGTGGGGTGGTAACTTTTCAACTTTTCACCCAACGGCAACAGCGAAACTCAAGCTTTCCATCACAACTTCACGGAAAAGACCATCACAACAAAGGACGACGACTGTTCAACCACACCAAAGTCCAAAACGCAACACGCAAACTCCAACAATAAGCCAAGAGCAGCAGCAGCAGCAGCAGCAGCAGCAGCAGCAGCAAAGCTCGCAGCCTCTAGCCTCGACGGGCACAGGGACGCCTGCTCTTTCCCAACTCAATGGCTGTTCATTGTTCCGCTACTGGGGATGCACAATCCCATAAAAAAAAAAACTAAGCCATTCATCCCCGCGCCACACCTGCACTAGCAAACGAGATTGACCGTATCTGTTCAGAAACAAAGGTGTCGGCACCTCGGCCAATGCATCCATAACGTCCCATGACGCAGGCGCGGAGGCATTACTATTAGGGGGCTCAGCAAGGGGCCGGTCAACAGAAACACCCCATCAAAATGAACAGAAACAACCAAACTCCAGTCATGCGAAAGTGCTGTCCATAAAAGGTGATTGCGTCCTCACCGCTGGCTGTCCCGAAGTTCTTCTCTGTCTTATTATCCTTTCTTTTCTTCTCTGCAACAATCGCCATCTCACCAGCTTCAAGTACTCGCTCGCCACCATTCCGTTGAAACATGCCGACTTCGAGAAAGTAGGCGCGCATTGTAACGCACGCAAATGACAAACTGAGGCGGGAAGCATACTCCTGGAAAAAACCACACCAGAGTATTCCTAGGAAAACTTGGTTTGGGGTTGTAAAGCAACCAACTTTGTTCTGGGAAACAATTGCTCTGGGTTGAGAAATTCCTAGGAAGAAGATTCAATTTTCCGATTGTTTTGTTTTTCCTGCGAAAAGCTGGTTTTGTGCTGGAAAGCAAACTTTATCCAATTAAAAACCATGTTTTCGGCTACAAACCTAGCCTAGCCTTTCCGCACTACAAAAACCAAACCAAACACATCGTTAAAGGCTGGGCCGCCTAGTTTCCCAAAAAGGGTTCTTTGGTTTTCCCTGGGGAAGTTGGTTATTGAATTTTTTGATCGAAAGAGCACAATGTTGCCATTGAGTGCCTGCTCATGTCAAACCTGAGGTGCCTGTCTATATCATGGCTCCCTGAAATGTGGTTGTGGTTCTGCCATTCCTTGACAGATACGAATCCGAACCTGCCGGAATAGCTGGTGTGACACTGACACGGTATTTGGATACTAAACGAGGGTCGGTAGTTCATGAGAGGATAGCATAGACATACACGTGGACATGCACCTGCACATATGAATACGCGAATGTATATGTATGTGCATATGCGCCTGTGCATACAGCATATATATATATATATATATGTATGTATGTATGTATGTATATATATATATATATACCTACTTTGTCAGTGTTCATCCAACTGGGCATGTGTTATCCAGTTAAGTTCCAAACAAATACGTGGTATTCCCAAACAACCCGACAATGACACGACGACGACACGATGCGACGACGAAAAGCCAGCGACGCGACGACGACGCAACGACCCGCAGACCAGACGACGACGGTGCGACGTATCTTCCTGGCCGGCAAGACCCCTCCCCTTATACTAGAAACCATACCCCATATACTCTCAAACCTTACATAACTCATGTGTTTATGGATTTGTATATGTGTTTGCTCAGTTGTTCATTTGCTTGCTTGTTTATCTGTCGAATGATCTGTTCCGGCCTTGGTCTGGGGCCTACAGTATCTACATATGTATATACGCCTTCGCACGCATGCATATCGTGAGAAGCAGCTCGTGCGAAACAATCGTCGGACTAACGGATTGAGGACATGATGCTTGCTCGGGGTGATGCTTCCGGGAGCGTTTGAACAGCCTGTGCAGAACGCGGTTCTCCAGCTGCTTTCGCTGCTCCTGCGCCTGCCAGTGTATGGCGGCATGATATTGCCGACAAAAGGCTCTCATGTGTCCTGTTTTCCCAACCTTTCCTGCGCATAGACAAGTTCGAGAGAGTCGTAGTCTGCTTCAAGCACCTGTGGCAGGAGATCATGTAATGCCATGCTTTTATGAGAACAGAGATTGCAGGAGCCTGCAGCTGCTGTAACATCCAGGAAGGCGCTGTGCCCTTCAAAACGGTCACACTACGCTCAGAGATTACACTGTGTACTCTTACATCCTGGAAGTTGCGAAACCGCACCTGTGGGGGCTCTTGGTTCGCAACCGCCGCTTGCAGCTCAGCCTCTAAAACCCGGGAACACATGCACAGCCTAAACTGGGAGCTGGCCGCGCTTTTTCGCACACCATGTGGGCGCATTCTGCCCGTGTTAGGCTGCAGCGACCACGACAGCAGGAAAGTCGACAAAGCCAGTGTCCGCAATACTGCGTGATCAGTGGGAACTCTAATGAACCTCACTGGCCCTGTGCTGACATTTCCTCACAGAATATGTACAAATTGATTCACTGAGGAGAACTTACGGATGACTCGATTTGGAGTGGAGTGGAAGGTACGAGGCTGTGAAAACGTTTGACACTTCGAAGCATGTCTTAGCGACGGCTTACCTTCAGGGCGACACCTCAGCAAGTCAAGCTTCCACGACAAGCTGCTGCGACAGCTCTGCAGCTCAGCGTTGCGGAGGAGTCCGCCGAACCTCCGACAAAGCGTTTCCACAGGCAGCAGATGCATCTGTAACGTGCAAATTACACTTCCTCCATTCGTGTTTTAAGCCATCGAGCATCTGCACGAAATGTTTTCGTCTTCTCATTGCAAGCGAAGCAGTTGCGTCACTCTGCCGGATGGCAGCGCAGCGCACACGTGCATGCAGATAGCGCAGCACCGTGGTCAAGAGTTTGGAAAATCTCGAGCTCCAGCTCTTCCTCTGAGGGTGCCATAGCTGGGTTAAGCATAGCAGGATAGCGTGTGATGATGTTCAGAAAGCTGCGACGTCCTCAGTGCGACTGGTCAGATATTCAGAGCCTCAGCAACAGCTGCTGCAGCTTAGAACAAAGGCTACAGCACGATGCGAAGAACGCTGTGTGATGAAAGCACTGCGAAAGGGCACAATGAATCTAAGCCTCCACGCAACGACGCAGTTTGAAAACATGGGCCTCAGCCCTCAGTTCACGTAGGTGGCGACACATCTTGCCCGGTGGAAGAATCAATTGGCACAATTTCTCCGTGGCTGCAGGACTGAGCGCACAAACTGCGAACAAATAAGAGGCCATGCAGAAAAAAAGTCATCATGCGCGGTGCCAGGTGCAATCAAAATTGCAGTCAAACCCAAAGCGAACAAGTCCACATGCAGCAGAAGCCCAAGCTCTAGACTTGAAGAGTAGCAGCCTTCAAACCCCAAGCCCAGCCCAACAGCATGACCAAACCCCGAGTTATGCAAAGTCCTGGTCTCCAACCCCTCTATCATGCTATGGTGAAATCAACCCCTCTGAAGCAAAACAATACGGACAGCCACAACAACGCACAGAAAGCGAGTTGAAACAATATGATATTCGTTGAACTTCGTCGAAATTAACACCTTGTCCGGTGAAACTGAAATCTTTGCTTTTGCCTTGAACAGCAAAAATTGCGAAGATGTCGCAGTCCGGGGACGTTCGCCGTTCGAAACTAGAGACAAACCGTTATTGAGGCTCGAGCCTGGCAGTTTGCGAGTTGCTCCGACACACCCAGTCTGGGCTTCTTGCGTCTTTTTACGGCAAACCAAGTAAGAGAGTCGGGCATGCGTTCAAAACCTGACTGGTGCGCTCGCGCACGTTTGTCAAACGAGGTTAATAGATTCGCCATAGCTCTTCTCGCAGTTTCAGTAGTGGCAGCGCTGCTACTCCTTGCATTGGGCTCTTCGCTATTTGCGTCCCATGTTCTGTCATGAGCTCGTCTCGCTCGCTTCGTGCACAGATTGACAGAGACTGCGCTGCTCGCACGGCCGTTCAAAATGTGGCAGGGAGCCATTCTGCGACTGTCGGGCCAAGCTCCTCTTGGAGGGCTATTTACTCGGAACCAAGTCCATGGTCGCCTCCCAGGCTTTGCCTGCGGCTAGCGAGACCGTCTCGGTTTCCACGCTCTCAACCTGTCAACATTCTAGCGGATCTAGGACTCGACATGGCAGACACCGAGCAGCAGCATGGAGTGTGTGCAGCCAGGTGGCGCAGACAAACGTCTTGTATCCCACCTACGGGGTCCAGCAAGGAGCAACTCGCACGCAACAAGCTAATAATGAGAGGCCATCCACAGAGGCAAGAGGTTGCAACATGTTGCAACACATCTTCGTAGACAAGCATACAAGACGACATGCAGAACAGGCCTACTGTTTGACACATGTGGCTAGCCTAGATCCAAATGACAGGACCACCAGCTGCAAATCCACCGAAGACAAAACCTCGTAACATCAGGCAACAGCAGCCTTATCATCACCGTACGGATTCCAAACCTCGGCAATATGAAGGATGGTCGGCATTAATTCTGCTGCATGTGCTTGAGCAAGCTGTGGCTTGAATCATCAGAATCGAGCAGCAACAACATCCTTCCACCCACCGCCGCTCTTGATCTGAAGCGCGCCTGACAATGGGGTAAGTAACGGCTTCCAGGAAGTTTTTGAAGTCCTTGCATGTCTTTGGTACCGTTTATGCCCATGCGCAACAATCCAGAACAAACTGCAATCACTTCTGGATCTGAAGTTTTGAAGCCCTTCATGCCTTTTCCCGGATCTTCCAGAACCACTGTGCCAGGAAGGACCTGCCAGCATCTCGCTTTCCAGCCCCGCGTGAAGACGAAGTCGAGTGCGCGATTGGGGTTGTGAGGGTCCCAGGTTCATGGTCTCAGGAGGCGCGTACCTTGGCATACATCTCGTCCGCGAATGAAGTGACGGTAATTTCATCCTGCTTGTACTCGAACGGCGTAGGCGGATCTGCTGTGCGATCCTTCCCAAGCGCTCAGACGGAAGTTTACAGAAGTCAGACGCGACTCTCCACGCGCTGGCCAATGAATGCTTATGAAAAAAATGCATGGCCGAGATCCTCTTCCCAGTCCCGCCCTACGCTCCAGCAGCCAATGCTTCTGCTTTGTATCCGATCACTTGCGGTGCTACTTGCACACGGATTCCCAACCCAGTACCCTAGCTTCTGGGTGAGCGGGTCCAGATCCTCGTCTAGCAGGAATTAGGGTACCAACACACTGCACTGTTGCATGTGCCTTCTGTTGAACCTCGTGTTGTCACGGCTTCTCGCAGGTGTCCGTGATGTGATTGCACACAAGCAAAAAATGCCCCTGCCCCGAAAAACAGGTTATGAAGTCAGGGAGCGGTTTTCATGCAACCGTTGAAGTCACCCTTCACGATCAAGGCATCAATGTCGGAAACATTCCAGTAGCCTTCGTTGACTTGTTGCCCAGACAGTGACGGCAACATGGTACCGAGGGGGCGAACAGTTCTCGAAGTGCGCAGGCGTTGCCCACAACCCAAAAGCGAAATTATCGTTAGGAAATCCGAGACCCGAAGAGATTGTGAGTGCCGAGCTCAAGCACACAAGTAGGATGTAGAGTATTGGATGCATCAGAAAGACACGCCTTCTGCCTGGAGCAGAATTGCATGAATATAGTTCTCTTCAGGCACAAACACAGAGGATTGCTGGCTATCTTGGTTTATAGAAACCACGACGGAGTTGCCACCAAGGTTCTGTGCAGTCCGCACGAGAACTCACAGTCGGACTTGGACAAATTCTCCTCAGCGATCTTTCGTGCAGAAAGCGCAAGAACAAGAGACGGAACAGGCGAGGCTCGACTTTGAGGCTCGTATTCAGCTCACCGTCTTTCAGCTCGACCTAGAACAGCCAGCAAAGTGCAAGGGCTTGAGACTGTGGGAGACACTCATTTGGACATCGGCTGTGTGATCTTTGTGATGGAGCTGCAGGCCTTGAACTTGCAACGGAACTCGTGAGGCCACACCTGGCCACAAATTCGTTTGACGCTGCTCACTCACTTGCGGCTGCTCTCTCTGCAATCGCACTCCGCACCTCTGCTGTTCCTTTCGAACCCTTTCGGTTTAGTAGGCAGAGATGTCCTACAAATAACGTTGGCGGCGTTGCGGTTTCCTTGCTAACGCTGCCGACCCTTTCCTGGCTCTGGATACTGTCATTTGAAGCATATGCGCATGTCTTCAGACTTGAAAACACATGATTTGTGATTCTTGTCGTTGCCAAATGCTGTGATTTGCAGCATGCTCGGTTCTGCAGCCTTCTGGTTGTGCTCTGGCTCCGTTTATATGTAATTTGCAGCATGAGTGTAAATACCACGCTACACTACGCCGTACTGCAGTATACTACATTCCCAGTATATTGTACTGCACTGTATTGTGCTGAGCACAGGAAAAATTGGACTGTGCTGAAATATGTTGGACTGTACTAAGTTATACTAGGTTATACTGATTTTACTACATTATGCTAGGCTATGCCAGATTATGCTGAACTGTACAGTACCAGGCCGTACTACATAATCCTAGATTATACTCGATTGAAGACTATACTAGATTTTTGCTTTATTGTGCTGTATTGAAAGTTATTAAACGTTCTTATACTTCATTACACGTTGTTACAATGGTTTGCGGTGTACCTAGATATACAGTACTAGCATGTCGTCCCATAGTCTTCTCTTTGGGGCTACATCATACTATGTTGTACTTTGTCCCACTGTATTATGCTGCATGATACTATGATGCGATGTGACACAACATGATACTACATGGTACCATACGATGCTTTATGACATTATATTATGGTACCATATGATACTATCTTACACTATACTATGCTATATTCTGTACTATTCTATAGCCTACTTCAGACTATGTGATGTTGTACGATGTTACATGCTGCTGTATGATACGATGTGACGTTATGATGCTAGATGGTACTATATGTCACGGCATCACACTATATTCTACTATGTTAGGCTTGATTGGACTATCTTATACTGTAGTCGACTACGCTTTGCTATAAAATACTGTAAAATGTTATACAATGCTGTAAATTGTTCTCCTAAGTGTATACCATATTGTACTATACTGAACTAACCTGTGTTCTACCGTATTATACTATAACGTTCTTCTGAGGAGCGATAAGTGTGCAAGCACACAAGCCCATATCATCTTCAAATATGTTGAACCATACAACATTCTGAGACTGTACTAGATTTTGGTCGGCAAGACTATACTGGACGGTGTACAAGATGATGTTAGACTGTACTGAGTGAAATGAGACGCATCAGAGTACATTAAGCTATGATGTACTAGAATCTATCTGCTATCATGCTAGAAAATCCTACGCTGCACTAAAGTATACTATACAACGCTGTACCTTACTTTTTTGTATGTTAAACTTTACGACGCTATACTATACTGTATTGTACTAAATTGTGTGCTAATATACTACACTGGGAAATCTCATGTTGAATTGCGGATTGATGTTTCCCATATTCTATCATATTATGTCTTGTTGTATTTTATTGATGTGTCGTGCCGCGTGTTGCTTTGGTCGTTGTATAGTCTTCTTGTCTCATCTTTCATTATGCGTAGGGAACTTCGCAGAACATGTACCTTGCATCTTGTTTTGCACATTGGGTTTGAGCAGGCACCCCCGCGCATGGATTCCAGTCCTCAATGAATCCTCATTTGAAGGGCAATGCGAGTCTCATTCTGCGATCTTCTTTGCTGGCTGCCCGGGGCCTCTGATCATCTCCGGTAGCTAAGTACCCTAAACCACTGCATGCTGAAAGCGGATCGCTGCTCGAACTGTCGGACGACCCTGATGAACCGTGTCGACAGATTCAACAAATCCACGGCCAATTTCCAACAGAAGCAGGCGCTGTGGGTACCACAAGAAGAACGCCCAGCAGTGGCGCTTTAAATTTCAGCCAAACCGGTATCCCAAGGTCAGCAACTCCAGTGTACTCTTCCTGCAGTCCATACGTGCACTGCAGCTACACCTTCAGCATGGCCGCGACCCGACATCAGTTCCTGGTTTGCACCTAATTATCCGCCACGGGAGCTTTTCCAGGATGTCATTCTAACCCTGCGCATGGAGTTGTCGATCGGTGTTGCGTGCCTTCTTTCTTTCCGGTGCGTCGTCTTTCTTTCGTGGCTGTGCTATTAGACAAGCCAACAGTGGCGAAGCCTAGCGGAGAAGCAGAGACCAGGAGCTTTCTCCAAAACTCAACTTAGGAAGATTCTCAGATCCATGACCGTGGCCAGCAGGGAAGTTCAAGCATCAGCAGACACGAGCATGCACGTGGGGAAGAGAATTCGGGAGGCGGAAACCGCATGATGCACAACCCCAGGCCCAAACTGAAGACTGGATGCATGAAGAAGAAACAGAAACTCCCATATGAGGGGAGACACCAGCCAGAATGGCCAAGGAATGTGAAACATAAACTCGTGTGATGTGCCGAACGACAACACTGATCCCTATCATCTCGCCACATCTGATACATGCTTACTCATGATCATGAAGACATGTATCATGTGTGTATACAATGTTTCGTTGGCACCGGAATGAACCGGCTTGCTGCGCCTGCGCAGTCATTACGAGCATTGCTGGTGTGGACTGCCGGCATTAACTGCCGGGCTTGGCTCAGTCTTAGTAGAAGCCGAGACAGAAACAAGGGAAACACAGCGACCGTCAGAAACAACAGGAAGCCGAAAGCTAACAACAACACAAACAATGGCACGAAGAATGGGCGAACACGTCGTCTAAAAGCACCCAGCTTCCAGGGGCTACACAAGAAACAGAAAACGAAGGAAGGCTCGGTCCAGGACACGAAGGCACAGGTGAATGGAAAGGTGCTGTGCAGAGATGGCGGCCTCTGCAGGACAGTTCAACTATGGCCTTCGATGATCTTCGATTGCAATTTCCTGTGCTGCTTCTGCAACCTGGCTTCGCATTCTGCCTTCGGAATCCCAGCAATCTGCAATGCACCTTCATCGTCTCTTCCGTCTCAGCAAGCTCAAGAACACAAACGCCATCGCTGCTCTCGTCGGCCAGGAACTTCCAGTCCATGTTCCTGGCAAAGCCTGAAACCACAAAAGGCCGAATGTGCCGACTTATGGCTGCAGACGACAGAAACAAGAAATATGGCCATCTCTGTCGTGCTGCTGTCGCTACGAAGCGCGGCCACGAGTGCAATTCATCGACAACTGTATGTTGCTCGCTTTAAGCTTGCAATCGCTTACTACGACTGAGATAATCAACATGCAGCTGATACTACATGTCAAGTAAAGCACCTGTCAGTCCGATTGAAAGCTCAACCCCACACCTCGTAGAATGCTCATTTCCAAATTGAAGCTGAGCTCCAGTCTCGGTCCCTTCATATTTGGGTTTGCGGCTTACACTGGGTGGCCGTGGTGCTCATGCGAGATCCTAGATTCTGCCTAGATCCATGTCGTCGAAGACAAAGCCGATCCGGGTGTCAAAAACTTTACCCCTCTCTCTCTCTCTCTCTCTCTCTCTCTCTCTCTCTCTCTTACACACACACAGAGGCACACAAACACACACACAAACCCAGAGAGAAGACGCAACACACCCCTGAGACCGGAGAAGGCGAGGAGCCGTGCTGCACAATGACCTCGCCAGGCCCGAATTGTGGGAAACAGATCGGGATGCCTTCGCAGAGAAGCTTATCAATCGAAGCACATTTACAGAGCAAGCAATCTGTGAGTGTCTGACTCTATGTTTGTACGCCTTTTATCGCCTGTTGTGTTTGCGCCGATACACCAAACAAAAGCCAGAACCTTAGCCTCAAAGTACCTGAACAAGCTGAAGAACCTGTAGCAAGTCTGAGGGTGTGGACGGATGTGCTTTGCCTCTCCTGGCATGGGCTGTCATGAACTGAAGGCCTCCGCTGATGTTTTGCTTTGTTCCATCCAGCTTGCAGTCTGCCCGCATCCCAATCCACTCTACTCCAGCCACTTTGAAGGAGGTCACATGGGCACCACGCAGGTACACCGTGGCCTGCGTGGCAAGGTCTTTGTCAGCAAGACGTACTCAGCGCAGCTGCTGCAACTCTTGAGTTTGACAGCCTCGCGACTCAGGGTTTCGAGCTGCTGGCTTCCATGCTGTAAAGAGCTGCTTATACTGCGCAGAATGCGACGGCGCTTGCGGCCATGGGCCTCCGAATCTCCGTTCACGAGCTTCACGAAGGACCATGGGCCAGATTCATCCAGCTCTGTGGTCGCGCGGCGCGCCACTGCTGTCACCGCACGTGCGGGCCGCGTGGGCCGTATGCCTGGATCTGCAATGCAAGCAGCAGCCCAATGCCTAAGGCCTAAGGGCTCCCATATATTTCTCATCTGGCCCAGCCTTTCGCATGCCTCACATTGCGGCTCCTGCCAACCCAACCAGCAACTGCCGCCGCAGCACCTGTGGCCAGTGGCGACAGACAACGCGCCGTTCTGAAGGAAGCACTGCCCCTTGGGCCTGCGAGGAGCGAACTCTGCGGAGCCTGCGAGATCCGCGTTGTCGAAGAGCAAGGTGCCTGTGATGTCTGCGATGCCTGTGCACAGAGGGCAGATGCATCGCGCACCAAACCTCGTTTCCCTGTCCTGCAGTTTGACCCCAGCTGGTGAAACACCAGGCACATTCTCGAGCACCTGGAGCCGAAACAAAGCCGGAACTGAAACGGTGCAAGGCAGAAGATGAGGGCCCAGGGCCGCCACGAATGCAGACATGGCTGGCGGGCTGGCGATGCAACGAGCAGAGAGCAAAGGGCAAATCTTTGGGCCCATACAGCTCCGCAGGCTCCGCATCCGGAGTTCCAACTGCCATTCGCTCGTTCACTTCACTGGTGTGGGGCCATCTTCAATCAGCCAATCAGCCCGACCTTTAAACAGGATGTTCGAGCTTCTTATGGAGGGATACTTCGCGTGTGATCCCAGCTGCTCTGGCTCCTTGTTGCCCTCTGCTACTTCACTTCCAAGCCCTTCCTAGCCTAGCCGGCCTGGCCTCCATGACTCTGTGACTTGTTGCCAGAGGTGGCTGTGCTACAGATCCTGCTATCTCAATTTGTGCCAAGTCCAAGAGATGACGGTTCTCCTGTGGCCGGGCCATTGAATCTGCTTAAAGCTAAGCGTAAGCATGAGACCCGCGCAACTTGATCAGATGCTGTCAATACCCTCTCCATTTCGACCAGTTTTGAACTGATCTGCATGTACTATGGAATTCGGCCTCCTTGCGCCAAGACACCTGCCTGGGCAGGCCTTGGCTATTCACCTCGCACGTTGAAGATTGATTGTCTGTCATTGTGACTTTTGGAGCATTTCAAAATCGAGCAGGAAGCACCGCAACAGCAAGGCGAACACGCTCACCGGTCTTTGCCGAGTCCTCTGGATGCCTGTGCAGGACGGCCACTGCCCACTGCCGCGCAAGACACAAACATGTGCTAAAAGGACACAAACATTTTTTTCGCAAGCATGTTACGCAGGGGCCTTCCCACAGTCCAATTCTTGCCATGCCCACGGTTATCGGGCCTGGCAGGCACATGTGGCTAAGCCAGAAGCCATCTCTCTTGCAGTCTCCTGAAACCTTCAAAATCTCGTGGCAGGTGAACCCGAGCAAGCGGTACTCCACAAAGGGACACGCATCTGCAACGCTGGGATAAACCTCAGATGATCTCCCTTAAAAATCTCAAAAAGAACGTCTACACTGAGTCTACACACCGAGCAAGCCTTGAGCCTGACAAAGTGTCGGTCCTTGAATCCCGTTTTGACTCCCGGTCTCATTGCACTGATCGAATCTAACACACTGGTGTCTTACGAAGTACACGAGCTCTTGTATGACACGTCGTTTCAAGCTGACGTGCTGAACGTAGCTTTTCACCTTCAAGCTTGGGGTCCCACGCACTGCTCCCACCTGAACTGCACTTGAGACATGACCTGTACCAGCTCGATGAACGTACACATGCGCCACTCGGCCTTCCATCGATCAGCAACTGGAAGCTCTCCCAGCCATTGGCACCGACCTGGATAAGGAAAGAGAGTTGAAGCAGATTGCTCGTGAATCTGTGCCTGCAGCCTATTCTTGTTGGAAACTGCCAATACCCAGCAGCTGTCACTACTGTGGAAACTACGTGCGAGCGCAGGTACTCCTCGTTGCCTCGGATAAGCGAAAATTTCGAGGTCATGCCTGGAAGGCATGGTAGAACTTGGAGCCGTCCCATTTCATCTCCTACAACGGAAGTCAACATCAAGCACGGCGGAGCAAGAAGCTGTCGCTATTGAGCACATGCAGTCCTTCGGCTCGAACTTGTTCCATGTCGACGCGACCCAAAGGCTCTTCGGCGGTCTATGGCTGTGCGTCCTGCATGAGGCTCCACTTCAGCAGAAGCAGCGGCGGTGCATGGATGCGCATGCAGCTGTGTGCAGGGTGGTTGGGTGCACGGGTGGGGGTGGGTGGGGGATGGTGGGGGATGGTGGGGGTCGGTGGATGTGGGTGGGTGTGCATAAAAGCTGTGGGGTGTGGGAAAGCATGTCAAAAATGTCGGAGGAACACGAACAAGGCTCAGGCCAAGTCTCACGAACTGCTTGCTGGGAATCTTCGGACCTTGGCACCAGACACAGCTACCACTAGTCATAGCTGCCGGATGTCGCGGCCCCTGCAGAACCACCAAGGCTCGCTGCGACACTGCCGTGGCCTGGCGAAAGCACTCGAGCTGACAAGGTCTGACGGGTTGTTGCAGTCACTCTGCGACCTTCTGCTTGCCATGGCTGCCAGGCGTCACGAGCGGCTTGGAAAGAAGGCGACCGTAGCCTTCGAGCAAAGCACTGAGCCGCTAAATCGGCACAGAACTTTCGAAAGGAGTGACATTGACGTGCACTAGCAACCTACGTCAATCCCACCGACCACCCCAGCACCTCCTAGCGCAAAGAGTGGGCGGACTGAAAAGCTTCTTTTTATCAGTGGCGGCAGATCCCTGTAGCCCGGAGATGCCTAGCTTCCAGCTAGCAAAACTCCAGGGAGGGTTGGGTGGGTACTCTGAAAATATTCTACCCCCCAAAGGGGTTCTAGCCGTAACGGCGACGGGTAGAACACATTTAGCGAAAACACCTTCGATGTTTTAGCTGTCGACACCTTCGACGTAAGAGGAACTTCGGGTTGCTAGCACACACAGTTGTCCCTCGTCCCTCGTTACAAGAAGCGTGCACTAGCAACCTACGTCAATCCCACCGACCACCCCAGCACCTCCTAGCGCAAAGAGTGGGCGGACTGAAAAGCTTCTTTTTATCAGTGGCGGCAGATCCCTGTAGCCCGGAGATGCCTAGCTTCCAGCTAGCAAAACTCCTAGCAAAGCCACTCGGGCTACCAGGGTTCTAGCTTCTTGGGCTTCTTTCTGAAACGCATCGGTTTCACCGACCTAGCTGCTTTCCTCTTCTTGACTTCTCCGAAGTAGCTTGCAGAGTGTTCTAGCAGCTTGCCCAAGACGCGCCACCGAAGTTCGCTGCCAACTAGCGGGACCCGGAATTCTGGAGAGAAATGATCGAACTTCTCGTTCGTCAGGTCATCCGCTAGCTGGTTCAGGTCACGGCGGACCCATTGTAACTGGAGTTCGCAGTTTCTAGCTTCCAGCTCCTCAGCTAGCTCCAAAAGGACTAGCCCCGAAGGAAACTTTGTGGTCATCAGCTTCTTTAGCAGGGCTTCGTTGGACTGGTTGTCCGTATAGCCTCTTAGAGCCACACGGGACAGAGTCCTAGCCCTGCCTTCCGGAACCCAGAGCCGAACGGCTACAAGGGTTGCCAGTAGCTCTAGAGCCGCAATGACCTTGTTGGGGTCACCTTTAGCGAAAGCCCAAGGTGCCCAGTCAGCTTCCACTTCTAGCGAGAACCAAGGTCCCTGGCAGCCTGGAACTAGCTCCAAGAAACCCCCGATCCAGGCCCGACCCGCCTCGGCCTTAGCGTCCGTGAAGAAGCTGAGCGGCGCCTCCGCCACTTCTAGCGGGGTCGGTTGCTGTAGTCGATCTCCCTTCTCCAGACGGTCTGCAATCCAACTACAGGGCACTCTTAACATGCAACTTTAGCGGGCCTTGGCAACCTTGCACCGCCGAGGACCATGCATATAGTGGCCCGAGAAAGGGCTTCTCCCAATCCAGGGACATCGCCGCAAATCCCAGTCTGCCTAGCCTTGTGCCATTTCTTTAGCAGAGATGTAGCCCGCTGTAACGGTGCTCCGTAGCCAGGAAACCAGCCAGCTAGCTCTTTTTGCGGAGTGGCTAGAGTACTCAGTCTCCATACCTAGCCACTCTACCCGGAAGCCCCCTCTCGACTTGGCCCACTTGAAAGGGAAGCCCAGGCTAGCGAAGTAAAGGTAGCTGAGCGGGATCCCCTGTCTCCCCTTTGGGCCACAGCCCAGCGACTCCAGGTCGTCCGCATATAGCAACATATCTATCGGATACTCCGGTCCCACTAGGTGGTGGACTAGCCTCAGACCGCAGGCGGCGATCCTCGACCACCACTATCTCGCGCAAGAGAGGCCAAAGGTGCCTACCAGGTTAACGTAGACCGTCTGTGTAGCGGGGTCTCCCGGGACTTCCTCCTCTAGGCTTATCTGGCAGCCAAGATAGCCGTGCTCCTTGCTCTGATGCTTGTAGCGGCGGTGGGCCTTAGCGATGTCGCGAACAACCGAAAAAGCCACCTTCTTCTCCGCTAGCATCTCCCGTAGCAACTGCTTCTTCTCCCGGGCTCCTGGAGCACGTAGCTTATCTCGGCATTTGATGCGGTGGTTGACTCTCACACCATGGGTAGCATCATGGATGATGCGCTTCTTGTTAGCCGCCTCGTCCTCAACGATGACGGCTAGAGCTGCTATAGCCCGGTGGTCGCCGTACCTCTCGACAAACTCGCCTAGCGTCATCTTTAGCATGAGGCCCTCGGCTACGTCCTCGTCGAACTTCTCCTTAGCAAAGGACCTGTGTTCGTCGACCGAGGTGTAGTTAGGGACCCATGCTAGCGAGGCCTCCCAAGGTGCGTTCTCCAGCGGCCACTTTAGCTGCTCCTCATAGACGTGAGGCGTGCGAGGTAGCGGGTCGAGGATCCCCACGGGAAGTCCTGTCTCCGCTGCCAGGAGGAACTCTCTATCCGGGTCCCCTGCGGCTTCTAGCAGCGCTCGCATGAGCCGTAGATAAAGAGGCTGGCCCTCCGCAACTTCTAGCATCTTCGGATCTGCAAGGTCTTGGGCCTCTAGCCATGTTTTCCAGACTTCCCTCAGCTCCGCTTGTAGCTGGGCAGAGGCCATGCGGAAGGCCTCCTTCTCTAGCTCCTTCTCGGAGCCAAGCTTTCCGAGGACCACCTCCTTCATCTTGCTCCGTAGCCAGTCCCAGCTCTTAGCCGCTAGCAAGGTTCCGACGTTCCGGTGGCCAGCGGCCGGGGGAACAGAGTCCCCCGCCGTCGTGGAAGTCCTTGTAGCCACCCACCTGCCAGCAGCGACGAGGTGGTCCATGACCTCCTTGTAGCCTCAGGATAAGCCGTGGAGTAGCTTGCGGGTGCTCCGTAGCGGGGGCCCCCAAAGTCTCGCCGCAAGCAGTCGAAGCTGAGGCCACCGTGTGGAGCACCAAGGCTGCTAGCCAGCTGCACATTTGTGGTGGCCAAGCCGCCGTACCTGTGGCAGCGAAAGCAGTAGAGGTCCTGCGCGCCAAGAGACCCGGTTCGCGGCTAGCAGCAGGCAAGGGACCAGTGTAGTAGCCTTCGGAGTCAAAGGCGGGCAGCGCTTCGTAGCAGCAGTCAGGCAGATGCAGAGGCGTCTTTAGCAACAGTCGAGTTGGCTTGCTGTAGCTTGTACCAAAAGAGCGTTGCTGAAATGCTGCTGTGCGGAAGCCTGCCGAAAGTAGCGCGGGAACCTGAGGCCACTGCCACATGGACGCGGGCCTCTGGCCCTTGTACGGTCCAGAGGCTAGGGCGCCTAAGTCATCGGGCTGCTCTAGCACGAAGGCTGAAGCAGCCCCCTGGGCTACTAGCTGAGCGACCTCAAAAGAAAAATCAGCAAAAATGTTGCCCAAAATAGCTCGGTCCCTTTGGGCTGGAGTGAGCTGCTTGTTGCCCCTGGGACAGGAGTAGCTTCTGACTGGGGCCGGTCCACGGAAGTTCGCCCAGGTGGCTCTGGAGAAAGTAGCAAGACCGCGTCAAACTCTCTAGCTTTGATCCGCTGCAAGTAGGTGTTGCGAATCTTCTCTAGCGATAGGTCGTATCGCTTGTCGCGCAGGATATCTACGCACTCGACAGAGACATCCAAACCCATAGCTGTAGCAGTGTGGTGAAGACACGTAGCCATATCCCATGGGCGAACCTCGCCTGCGAACAGGTAGAGGATCTTGTAGCTCGTCGGCGGGTTTCAGTTGGAGGATTTGCCCCCTTCGCCCTTCGCGCCTCCCGAATTGGGGGTAGCGACAGGGCGGCCGCTGGCTTTGCACTGGTAGGCCGGATGCTTAGCAAAGCATAGCTGGCAAACATGCTTGAAGCGGCAGGCTTTCTTGTGCGGGCAGCCTTGCTTGCTATTGTAGCGAAAGCAGATTGCATCGCCCTCCGGAGTCGTGCTAGCCCCATTGGCCACGCCTTTGCCCTTGCCTTCCCCCTTGGTGCCCTTAGTGCCCTTGCCTTTGCGTGGCTGCCGGATCCAAGGGCTAGGGCGGGGGGGCCGGGCGTTTAGCGTGAAGGGCTAGCGGGGTTGTGAAGTTCCGCTCCTTGAGGGCAGCATCCTTGTAGCTTTGCTTCAAGGCCTCCGCGAAGGATAGGGATTGCTGTGCCATGAGCTTGTAGCTGTGTTTGCGGATCGCATGCTCGTAGCTTAGGACCAGATGCCACGGCGGAACCAGAGCGCCGGAATCTTCACTGGATCGTAGCCCATAGCAATATTCTCCCAGCAAGTATTCTTTATACTTTTCGAAGACAGCCTGCGTCACATCCTTTAGCTCGGTGCGGGACGGATGCTTGAGGCGGATCATAATCAAAGCATTGGCTAGCACTGTGAGGCGTAGCCGTAGCTGCTCTGGTCCAGAGGGCATCGCCGTGCGAGAACCGCCTTTCCTTAGCGAAAGGGTGCCTTTAGCATCCCAGGCGGGCAGCAAAACTTCAGGGTCGATTTCGTCGCGGCTAACCACCTCTGTTAGCGGTTCGGCCCGAAATTCCCCGGTCTCTAGCTCGTGCAACTTCTTCTCGATATATTCTTTAGCGGGGACATGGCGGTCTTCGACTTCCCCAAACTGTGTAGCAAAAGCCTGTCTCATGGCGATGTAGTCCGTCTGTGGGATGGGTTTAGCCCAGTCCCGGACTTCACTTGTAGCTTCAGCTTCGGCCTGTGTCTTGACCCTAGCAGAAGCCGTCTGCCAAGCCACAATGAAGCTAGCGATCTGACCTCGAGAGGCTAGCGTGCCGTCAGGAGCCATCGAGAAGGCATCATGGAGCACCTTGCGGAGGTCTTCTTCGCTAGCAACGAAAGCAGCAAATTTCGCCATTGTATCGATGCCGTTGTCGAAAAGTGTAGCTTGATTAGCATCGCTGACCCTGTTCTGGGTCAACATGTGTCGCAGGTCAGATGCCCCTTTAGCCAGCTTGGCGGCGTCTGCTGCCATGGCTAGCACGGAGGTCTTACACTAAGGAGGCCAGGAGAGCACAACAAGGCTTTAGCAGGTTCAGAGTGGCGGCAACACACCTCAAGCGGCCACGATCCTGGTCAGCTCCTAGCCGATCTAGCAAGACCCCCCCAGAAACCCTCCCCCCCCCCCTCCCCCAGGCCCAGCGGGAAGGTGGGGAGGATGTGGCCGGGTCCCTCCTTTTGTGGGCGCCCCTGTTTTCCCCAAAAGGCTTTGCCCTTTTTAGCGGAAAACCTCTCTCTCGCGCCTCCCTTCTTTCTGGCAACGGAAACCTAGCGCGACTTCCTTTGTAGCGGTCCCCGAAGCAGAGTTAGCCGTGCATGCACTGGGTGCACCAGTGGGCATGGTGGTCGTCTAGCGGCCACCACATGCGTCTGTTGCACATGTTAGCGTGGCAATTGGGGCACCGTATGATACATCTAAAAATATAGTTTCTATCGTCCCAACGGCCGAAGCCGAAGATGTCGTCCTCATCGTTAGCGACGTGTAGCGGGAAGGGCACATCCCTCTGCATCCAGGTCGCCAGTTCTAGCGCACGGCCGGTTGGGGGCATAGCACAGATCTGCTCCAAGTCGTAGCCCGTAAGGTCCTGTAGCCACGACGGGTTGGTAGCGTTGATCGGTGCCATCTTGTCTTTGCCTTTAGCGGAGCCTTTCCCCTTGCCTTTAGCTGCAGCCGGCGGCCCCTCCTCCAGGGTCCAGGTGCCTAGCGGCCACAAAGGCCTCGGCACCGACGCCCAGGAGAGCTCTTGCCGTCGTCGCCCTGCGGCCGGCTGTTAGCATGGGCCCCCACCGGCGGTGGCATGACGAGCTCCACCGGCACAGTTGTGCCACGTAGCTCTGCCACGGAGCGCTCTCCGTTAGCGAAGTGAGAGGGCCATCACGCAAGGTCGGTCTCATTGGTCAGCCGCTAGCAGCACCACATCCCAAGTACGATTGGGGTCCGGTAGCGCTGTGGGTGGCTGCTGCTGGCTAGCTCCCGACCTGCTTAGCGACCTTCTCGGTGTATGCGAGCGCCTGTGGCCTGTAGCAGCCCGGCCTTGGACTAGCTCCTGGCGACCCAACGTCCGGGCTGGCAAAGGTTAGCTTCCTGTAGCCCTGGGAAAGCCCCTTGCCCCATCTTGTTGGGTGTAGCAGAGCGGCGTCGAGCCTCGTCCTTTGTAGCAGAAAGAGCCGGAGTGGCTGTAGCGGGGGCTGGATCGTTGCTGCCCCGCGGTGCCTGGGCGGCCGTTGTGGCTATGCGCGGCCTGGGCCTGCTGTGCTCGCTCTAGCTCCTCCCGCTGCTTCTGCTGCATGTCTTCTAGCGTCTGGCGTAGCTGGGCCTCCTGGGCCTGCTGCTGCTTTAGCTGCTCTGCTTGGAACTCCGCTAGCAGCTCGGCCTGTCTCTTCTCTAGCTCCGCCAGATGCTGAGCCTTCATGGTAGCGAGGTCAATGACTTCTTCAGGCGGTAGCGGCTCCTGCTGCACCACTCCGTGGAACTTATCCACTAGCAGGGCCCTCTCGACCTCGTTTAGCTCCTTCTCCTCCTCCACGGTGAGGTCATCTAGCGAGGTCAAGCTCGCCAGCCAGTCAAGGCGGTTGTTGTAGCGGGACCTCTCCGGGAAGCGTTGTTTGGAGGCCCCTTCCGCTGTAGCGGCTCGAAGGCCTAGCGGAACCTGGGCCTTCCTGACCGTGTCCACTAGCGCCTGCAGCTCGTCGGGGTGCAGCCGAGCTCGGAGCACGCCTTCTAGCGTGTCCTTGTCGGACTGCACCCAGTGCTTGACCGCTGTAGCGCAGTCTATAGCCGAGTGCTCTGTAGCGGGCACTTGGGAGCTAGCCATGCCGATGGCTGCTAGCTGTTGCTTTCGCCAGGATTTACCTAGCACAGATCCTCTCGAGAGAGAAAGCTGTAGCGAAAGCGTCTCAAAGCAGCCGTTCCCTAGCGAACCCTTGCGCACTCACTGCCTGACCTAGCCCGCCTCGCAACCTTCGAAATGGGGTTAGGGACAAGGGGAAAACCCAGAGGCAAACCTAGCACACACAGCGACAGCAAGGACATGTAGCAGACCGAAGCAACAACATGTAGCAGAACGTGATTCTCTCCTCTTCTGTCTTCCCCCCAGAGAGAGACCCCCCCCCCAAGGAGACCCCCCCCCCCAGAGAAGAGAATGCAATCCGAAACCAAGGTTCATTTTAGCGTGCCGAACGTACTTGCGTAGCCGTGGCAGTTGCCAGGCCCCCATTAGCCAGAGCATTCGCACTCAGGCCCGGGATGCTATCAAGCAGCCGGTTCTACCTCCAGCTGCGGTTCATCCCCCGAGTGAGCCGTGGAGGTCTCCGACCCGTCTTCTAGCTCCTCGGGCATATCGTCCCGCTGAGGCCAGCAGAGGCGGCACACATGAGTATACTCGGTGCTTGCTGGAAGGACGTCAAAATTTTTAGCATTCCGGAAGTAGCGGCGCTGGCCCATCCAGCAACCCTTCCCATTAGCTTTATGCAGCCTAAAGACAGCCCCCGGCTGTCCCACGACCACATAAGCCGTCTGTCTGTCCTGCAATCTAGCAGGCTTGGGTGCCCGCTCCTCGCTGGAGCTGCTGCTGCCTCCACTCGACGTGGAGGAGCTGCTTGAAGAGCTAGCACTGGACTCTAAAACCGGCGGGGGCACCACTCCAGCCGCCGGCCCATCTAGCTCCACATCCGTTTCCAGGTGATTTCTAACACCCGAGCCTGCCAGTCAGCTTGTGCCGGCAGCAGCCCTTTCTTATCAACAAGCCAGTCCCGCAGCGAAGTGCCTATCTCGCGCTCGTCTAGCGCCTCGCTGTGGCCTGGTCCTTTCGCAGCTTTGGCAAAAACTGCCTGCAGCCGTGCGACCCTACCTGGAAAGGTTCTAGCATAAGTGTCGGAGCTCTCCGGCTTCCAACGTCCTAGCAAATCCTTATCAGCAGGTGGCGTCTCTTGTAGCGAGAGGCCTGTTGGCAAGACCGACCGTTCACTATGCTCAGTCCAGAACCCCTGGATAACCGAGGGTAGACCAAGTAGATGTAACAGAGCCGCTGTAGCCACCACTGCGTCCGGGTACTCCGCAATCTTGGTCTCTAGCGTGCCTTGGCTACCCAGACGTGGAAGGAGATAATCCCGCTTGTAGGGCGCCCCTTCCTTTAGCAGCTGGAAACCGACCTGTAGCCATGTCTTGTGCCTGAAAAAGGCATGCTCAGACACGCATACGGGCAGTTCCTTGACCTTCTTGTTGGGACCGGAAGTTTTCGTCTTCCGTAGCGTGGTGGTTAGCCTTCCTTCCACTAGCCGGAGCTCATGTGGCAGGATGGCCTGCAGGTCGGACCACCTAAGGGTAGCCCAGGTCTTCACCAGTTTGGCCCAGGCCCATATGCGATGCCCCACAGCTTGGGTAGCATCTAGGACCAGATCCTCTAGCTTCACCAGGATGAAGACGGGGTAGCGTGGTGCCCTCTTTGTAAGAGGGGTTCCCTGAGAAAGCTCTTCTGTGATGCTGTCTCTAGCGGCCAGTGCAAGTCGTCCTGCGGTAGCTCTTTCTTCGGTCGGAAATTCACCGACCTTTTCCAGCCAGACTATAGCACTGTAGATGGCGGCTGGGATAGAGCGTCCACAGGGTTCATCCCGCCGGACCACCAGGTAATCCACCAAGTCAGCAGGGCGACCTGGCGGCTTTCTGAGCTTAGCTTCCCAGAGCCATAGCCGCCACCTTTTGTAGGTGGTAAGATAGCGCTTCAAGGTGGTGGCCCGCGTGCTGCCCGCAAGCATGCTAGCGGCACGTTGCGGGTCCAGACTGCTCTCAAGTTGGTCTAGCACAGGTGCTTGGCATTCCCGAAGTTCTTCGTGTAGCCGCAAGGTCCAGACCTCCAGGACCTGGCTTGTAGCACACTACCTTCTAGGATCAGCTTCCTGCGCCGTTCCCCTGGCGGGGGTCTAGCAGAATCTTCCTGCTCCTCGGGGTCCGTTCCCCGTAGCCTTTTCTCCGGCGGCTCCAAGGCTGCCCAGTAGAGAGGCTCCCGGTGGAAACCAGCCATACGTATCTCGACTGGAGCTTTTCCCCTAGCTTCTTCGATCAAAATCTGGAGCAGCCGTTCTAGCTCAGCACTGAAGGGGATCTTTAGCTCGAGAGCCAGTTGTTTAGCCAAGCTCGAGACGTCCTCATCCCGAACCGTGGCTAGCTCCGGGTTACGGAACCCCTGTTCTAACAGGTAGTCGCGACATCGCTGTAGCAGGGAGCTCCGGTGCTCATCTTCCGGTTCTGGGTGCTGCGGTTGTACGTCTAGCAGCGCTTCCAACTCGGACAGAACCGGGCTATCCGGAACCTCCTCCACTTCCATAGCAGCGAGCGGGGGCCTAGCCCCCGTTTCCTTTCCTACAATACTCTGAAAAAATTCTACCCCCCAAAGGGGTTCCAGCCGTAACGGCGACGGGTAGAACACATTTAGCGAAAACACCTTCGATGTTTTAGCTGTCGACACCTTCGATGTCGTAAGAGGAACTTCGGGTTGCTAGCACACACAGTTGTCCCTCGTCCCTCGTTACAAGAAGCATTGATGGGTCCGGGTCCCCGTCCCCGTGCCTGAGAGCAGCACGGTGTAGTCCAAGGCCTCGGCCACTTTCAGATCCACCTTGCCGGACCTGAGCCAGCTTGGATCTGGGCGACTGCAGTATTGCAGCGGTGTCCTCCGGCGCTTGCGCAGCTTCAAGATTGCGTAGCAGGCACGTGCTCGTTTTCAGACTGTATCTCATATCTCGAAGTAGCAGCATCACGGTCACAGAGTGCCGCCACGTCTCCGTTTCTTGCGTCCTCATGTGCGCAGGAACCGCGGCTGTGGACACGATCTCAGCCACGTCCGAGTGACCGCGATCGCCTTTTGGGTGCGTCAACGCCACGTCCCACTCGCTTGAGCGAGCACCAGCGCGTAAATTCATTCACTGTTTGGATCGCTGCAGGGCATTGTCTCAACGTCTCGTCCCCGTTCACATGGGCTGTGTGAAGCAACCCTTCGGGAATCTCTGAGTATGCTGCTGAAGAAATCCTTGCATTTGCTGCACTTTCTTGCTGACCTCCAAAGAATAGTTCCGGCTTCAGTAAAGTCGATGCACACTTCCACTTGTGACGCAGCATGGGGAGCACTGCTTTGCTCTGGAGCCTCGAGGTCCTCGCCGTCCTCGGGCAGCACGTATCCGTGGCACGGAAGGACGTTGCAATGCACCTGAACGAAGTCACTAATGTGAGACACGGCTGGACTCAGGAATTCAACACAGCCCGCGCATCACTGTCGGGCCTCGCGAATGACCTGGAGAGCCGTCTTCCGGTCGGGCGCAGCCTCCACCGACAACGATCAGGTTCAGTATTAATTATGTGTACACGAAGTCCATGCTAAGCAATGCTGAGAAGTGGGCGATGCTTTTGTGACACCATGCTCTACAGTCTCTGCATTCACAGGCAACAACCCGAGCACTTGTGGCTTCGAGTGCACGGCGCTGTCCACGTGCAGCCTCCCTCCGCACAGACCAGGAGCAGCATAAGCTTGCTGTGCACGGGGAACTTCTTCGGATCACAGTTTAGGCACGATTCGAATGGCTTGACCCAACACAGTCCCACAGGCGTTGGTCGGAACCTTCACAGGTTTCAGCTCGAGCGAGACACAGAGGGTGCGTGCAGCTGAGATGCTGAAGGCTGAGGAAACTCGGGCCACACCTCGATTGGACTACACTCTTTCAAACTCTGGAAAACCTCCCACAGGCCTCCGCAAAAAGCTGCAGCATCGACAGCGTGGAGCGCCGATCTGCGTTCTCTCGGTATGCCGTGCTCCACACGCCTGTCACAGACGCATAGTCGGAAGAGCATGGTAGCAGCTGGCTACAGTTCTCAGTTCAGGATCAGTGCCCGAGACACAGATACTGGGAACGAATGAGAATGCGCTAACGCTACCCTCTTGGCCAGGAGGGCCCAACCGGAGGGCTTGGAACAGCCAAACATGGGAAGACAGGGTGGCGGCATCGGGAAGTTGAACACGCCGACGACTCCGAGCTGAAGAAATTCTTCAGAAGATACCCATTTGCTTACTTCGTCAGTGACCATCTTCGTTCCGAAAATGCAGCATGTTCTGAATCCCTTGGTCAGGATTGGTGGCGCACGAAATGTTTAGCTGCAATGAACCACCAAGCGTCTCGTGAAGGTAACAAGGCAGTCGGGCTCCAGCCTGGTGCCAGGGCGAAGCCATGTGGAGTTTGAGCATGAGTATGGATCCGCCAGTCGATCCCAATGGCGTCCATTTCACTGCGAAACTCCTCCCAGGCCATGTAAAGGCTGTCAAAGAATCTTCTGTCTTCTAGCTAGACCATGGGTGGTTGCTGATTTGGCTACGTCCTGAACCGACTCTGCCGGCACATGATCGTCCAAGTCGCCGTTTTCAATAAGCACCTGCTCCGGCAACACTGACATTCCTTCCAGCCGAAATATAGCCGAAACTCTTGAAGAGGTGTCTTGCCTTGCATTTGGTGGAGTAAACGTTCGGCGCTTTCTTGATGCTGGAGTCAGCAGCAAATTCCTCCGCTCGTTCAAGCTCCATTTCAAATAAGAGGGAGTTACTGGTATCCTGACTTCGTTTTGAAGCAGGACAACAGTAGAGACTCCCGCAATGTAAGGGCTGCATATCTAAAGGCCAAACTGTAATGAAACCACTTTATCATGTAGTCTAAGTTGACGCATTTGAGGGGGGTGGGGGGGTGTCGCACTTCCAGATGGTCCTGCCGTGTGCCTTAAGGCAGCTTTCGCTAAAGCAAAGGAGCAGTTGTAAAGGCAAGCTACAGTATTCCTCTGAAAAACCCTTCGCAACACTGCTGGAAATTATGCCACTGACGAGCTCGACTTCCTCTGCAGACATTCGCCCATCGTAGCCGTTGCCCCTGACACTCTCCACCCGTCGAGGTCGGGAATGCAAGAGGCCGTGGAAGGTCACAGCCGCCTGGATAGAGTGTCCTGGGAGTGTGACGGGTTGTTTTGCAGAGCACTGCCCCGCCTTGGTCCTTTGAAGCCGCACACGAGTCCTGCACGCACTTGCTCCAGCACTGCTTGGCCGCCGAAGCAATATCCGATGGCCTAGCCAAGTCAAGGCACATCAAGTACGTCAGGTGTCAAATGGAAGAGTCACGCTCCTGCGAGGTTGTTCCCCTGACGAAAGGCTGCTAAGCCGCACCGGCAAAGTCCCGATGAACCGCTGGGTGGCAGCGTGCCTGGCGAAGCCACGAAGCCGCCCCCGAAACAAGTGGCTGCCCTGGCTGTGGTGGCCTCGCCTTGTCCAACCACGCGGCCATCAGCGCCCGCCAGACGATGGGAGTCTTGAGAAGGCCGGTCATTGCAGCAAAGGATCCTGCTACACGGAACACAGGGAAGACACAGAGGCAACACCCAGGCAACACTTCCGGCAGGTTCCTGCCGAATGACGTTTCACCTTCTCCTTCTGCCTCTCGCTCATGTACCCAGAGCTTTGGCCGAAGAAAGTCAGGTCACGCTTGGGGTCGCGATCCTCATTCCGTGTCCAATCTGAAACCGAAACTGCTGGAATGCGGTGGACACCGGTTTGTGAAATGCAGTCTTCCTCGAAGAGGTACTCAAGGCTCTCATCCGAGACCTGGACAAGGCTATCGAGAATTATGCTGCAGGCAAGGGCTGTGGTCAGAGGACGTATTACTGAACCACCAGACCAGTCCCCTAAGGCTACGCCTTACGCCAAGGCTTCCACAAGAAGTGGTATTGACGAGTGCAGTGGGCCACTCACGGCTTGCTGCAGCTGGGCGACGCCTACCATCTCACGCTCCCGGTAGAGATCCACAGCTACCCCCACCTGGAAAACGATGCAGAGTCTTATGTCGTCCGCTTTCTATCTCCTCCTATGATTTGGGGATATCAATAAAACGTAGAAAAAACGCAAATATAAACGCACGAAAAAGGTAACAGCAAACGCACAACGCACAAACAAACGCAGAAAAAAGCAGCACAAAACGTAACCCCACGCGAAAAACGCACAAACAAACGTACATAAAACGTAAAGAAAACGTAAAGAAAACGTGACGTCACGCAAAGAAGCCAGAAAAAAACACACACAAAACAAAAAACCTAGAAAAAAACATGACTGTATGCAAACAAGCCCACGAACAAACGCGCAAGGAAAGTCACGTTGAAACAAGCAACGGACCACCGCAGACGCACTCAGAAACATACAACCAATGCATAGGCATGCAGGAAACGGACACGTAGACAAATGGCAGTTGCAAACACAGATCCCCGACAAGAAACGCATATACAACGCAGGACCGTCGGACAAGAATGGCATTCTATGCACGTAGATTTCGGAGCGGTTCCAGCCCGGTGGGTATTGGTGCGCGTTTTTTCCGCGAGGGGTTCCGGACGCTGGCTTTTCGGTCACGTTTTTTCCGCGAGGGGTTCCGGACGCTGGCTTTTCGGTCACGTTTTTCGTGCGTTTTCCAGCAGCTTTATTTCAGCTTTTGTTCTCCTTTTTTGCAGCTTTTTGCCAGCTTTTTGGCGAGTTTGAAAACACGTTTCTGGGCCCCTCCCTATTCACGTTTTTTTTGCGTTTTCCTAAGGAAAACGCAAAAAAAACGTGGAAAAAAGCTGGAAAAAAGGTACCTTATAGACGTGGACAAAAGCTGGAAAAAACTTAGAAAAAACGTAAAGCCAAAGGAAAAAACCTACGAAAAACCCTGGAAAAAAAGTTGAAAAAAGCTGCAGAAAAGGTGACACAAAACGTGCCCGAAACGCACCTTCCGGAGCCACGCCGGAATCTCTCCTGGAAAAACGTGCCCAAAGCGCGCCCAGCCGCAACCCCCTTCCGGAGCCACGCCGGAATCTCTCCTGGAAAAACGTGCCCAAAGCGCGCCCAGCCGCAACCCACCCACCCACCCACCCCACCCCACCCTGCCCCAGCCAAGCGGGCTCCTTGGCCCGCCCCACGATCTACTTTACTACATGATTTTGCTGTCTAGGTCTTGTTTAACATACTTTCACATTGTTGCGCTTGGTTACAAGTTTGTTGATGCTGCGTAGGTTTTTTTGTCTTTGTTTCATGTTTAGTTTGTTTTTTTGTCAAGTTTTTTTGGCGTTCGATTTCACGTTTTTGTATGCTGCGTACGTTTTTTGTGTCTTTTTATCACGTTTAATTCTGTTTTTTTTTGCGTTTGTTTTTGTGGCGTAGCTTTTTTTGTCTTTATCTTTGTGTATATTTTTGCGTTTTTGCATGTTTTTTTTACGTTCACTTTTGCGTTCTTTTAGGTCGACGACTTTCCTTTCACGTTTTCTGTACGTTTTATAGATGTTAGAGACCTCATAGGAATAGATACAGAGGCCGACATAAGCAGAGTCGTACCACACTGCCCCACGAAATAGTGGCCCAAGTATCACTGCCCGTTGTCCAAGCATTTAAAAGCGCCAAGCCACATAGCCGGCTCGAGCCAGGAAAGCAGCCTGAATCAGGCGGTAAAATCGGGGAGTCTAGCCCTGGTTCTGGCGAGGCTCATGGCCGACTTGACGATGACGGCCTGATCGATATCAAACTGCTTCAGGCCTCGGCACGCACACGGTGCTGCACGGTCTGCAGCAGGTCCCTTCACATATCTAAGTGGACACGTATGAAGCAGATCACTCCATGACTCGAGCACGGCTGCAGCCGGGCATCCAGCGTAGTTGGGATGGACCAAGATGACAGGGGACGGGGGACGTCCGTGAATGTAAGCTATGTGACCGTATGCATAGGTGTAGCCTGGAGGCAACAAGTCGCAAGCTCTGGTGCTCTGGATCCTCTTGGAATTCGGAAGACTCTGTGTGGCAAACTGACCAAAAAGCCTTCGAAGAACAGCGGCAGGCGCTCGATCACTAGCGTGCCAGATGCTTTGAGCACCTTCGGGATGAAAAAGGGCTGCGTTTCCTTGGGGAGCACTTCACTACGACTCACAACACATGAGATGCTAGCGACTTTATGTCGAGAAAGCTGAGTGGCATAGCTCTTGCCGTCATCACTGCCGTCTTCTTCCGGGTTGCACATGCTGCATAGCGCGGATCACACTTGGCTTCGAGTTTGGAGCCCTTGCTTGGGTCGAACTTGGCATACTGCGGAATGAGGAGACATGTTGATCAGCTGCTCATGCTGCTCTCCCGGCTTGCAAGCATAAAGTGTCAGGCTGCAGTCGCAGCATCTGTCATGTCACGAGACCCCCAACGACTGACACATCTGTGTTGCTTGATACGGTTGACAGGAACTTTTTGTCAGGCACCGGTTCAACCGGAACCCAAGGCATTGCATCCGACTGTCACTGCCTAGTCCTGACCTGGCGAAATGCTACACCTCAGGTGGTCCAAGCGGAGCCTGACGCTCTTTCACAGGCGACCTCCCAGACTCAAATTCCGTCATGCTCCAACCACACGAAGACGAGCATCATAAGAACAATCCGGCGAAGCCGTGATTTGAGGAGCGACGCAGCCTGTGCTTATAAGACTGTGATGCAGACCTGGCTGGTTTGTCAGCCCGAATTCTGCGTGATAAATCGGAGGAAGTGTGTACAAACTCGCAATCCTCATCATCACCATAATCATCGCAGGGGAACCTCTTGCGAAGGATACTGTTGATTGCATTATCTGAGTTAGCTGAGATCTGCGTGACATGATGGGATGTGCGACGTGAAACGATTTAAAACAGAAGCTGCTCAAGATGAGTCAGACCTTGGCACGCACGCACACACGCACAGACACACACACACACACACACGCACGAACACGCACATACAGAGACACACACACACACACACACACACCCACCTCTTGCTGCTCGTGAAGCCAAGTGTGGCCTAGTCTGAGCCGACAACACTGCTCTCTGCAGTATCTACTTCTTGGAGACCAAGGTCTGCTTCGCACAGCATTGCCAGATCCTCGGACATGCCATGATCCATCCAATGCTTGGATTGGTCCGAGATCTCAGGTCCAAGTGGCAAAGCCTGGCGACCGCTTCGCCTGTCAGCAATTTGCCATGACTTGGCGTCTAACCAGTGCCTACGTGCGCGAGTTGAAACGCTGCTAGTTTCTGCCACGAGCAACAACTATGGGATAAAACGAGGCCAACCCCGGAACCCAAAATCCTTCCACATTCTTCCACCTTCATTGGCGCTCATCTAGATTCGAAACCTTAAAAGCTGCCCAACCACTCAACAAGTTTAGTCGGCTGTAACCCATGATCAGGAAACAAGCTGATCCGAGACAAGACAGCCCGCGGGAAGAGACCCCGGGCCAGGCACCGGCCCCGAGTATCACGAAACAACCGGCGGCTAGCACATACCCAATGCCTCGAGATCCAAAGTGCCGTCTCTGAAAAGTAGCGGCAAAGAGCTGAGTCCATCCGCGGCCACCGCCGGAGAGCTACGACTCAGATTTCGCAAGAATCGTCAATAGGCATGACGTGTTCGTAAGTTCATAACATATGGTAGGCCCGGCAAAGGTTGAAAATTGATCTGATCGCAAAACCGTAGCACTCGGACAGGTGCACTTCCGTTTCACCTAGCAAATCTCCTGGTCCAGTCCATAAAGCAGCAGCCAATGACGCGCGCCTGGGTTGCATCAACTGCCGGGTATTCAGAATCTACATGGGCTCCTCTAGCTGGATTAACCATCAGAGTACAGAGACGGGAAATGACAAAGAGAACCAGCGGAGGTGCATCCTTGGCAGCGCCACCAGACGCAAGGATGGGGATGGCTGCAGAGAGCGCCTCTGCAGACTTAAATACGAGGCCCATTGTCCGACGACCTCAAATGCAGCGATTTGATGAGACACGTAACCTGTGAACACCACGCATGACTCCATGACCATACTCTGCAAACTCTGCTCTGTGACTGCTGCACTACAAGCCAGGATGCGGATGGTTGCAGGTCTGCGGAGGCACCCACATGTCGCGGTGAGGAAGCAACCACCTGCAGCAAGCTAAACACGAGTGTTGCGCAGGCCATGTACACAACGTCTGGCAGGCATCGAAACTGACAAGAGCCCTGCCGACGGATGAAGGGCTTGTATAGGATCACATCATATCAAGAGTCAAGGCCAGGGTACCAAAGCGCCGGGAGCATTGCGCTGTGATCGTTCAGAGTCAGAGGCTCCGCGAAAGGATTTCAACCTTGTCCGCAGCTTGGCCTGAGATGGGTCCTTTCGAGTCCAAACAAAACTCAAGACAGAAAAAGTTAAACACCGCCAAGACACGAACAGAATCTGTTGCGGGACCTGCCATGCGAAAGCTTCGCGCGCTTGTAGCCCAGGACCGAAAAGTGCTTCTGCTGCCAGTGGCACCTGGAAGTTCACGAAAGCTGTGGAATCCCTCGATAGTCTGAATTGAACTTCGTCAAGGCCCTTGACAAGCTGAGCTGGGAGGAGCTGGGTGTCAGAGCTTGTTGAAGCACCAGCCCCGGGCACATCCCGTTTGTAGTTCCACTTGGAAAGACCATGAAAGCTGCAGCGGAGCGCCTCTGCTCTCAGCGGGAGGCTGACATCCTGCACACAGGACATCGGGCCTGCAACGGCAACGGAGTCCATCTCTTAAGACAGCCAAAAGGTCCTCGACGAAGATGGCCGCCTTGGCCCGCCGCGCTGCGGGCGCCAGCACAGGAATCCCAGCCGTCTGCGGTGCCGTTTCATGTAGCTCTGTGACCTGCGCCGTGACCTGCCCCTTGAGCGCGAAGCGAAAGCCTGGCGAGGCCTCCGCTGCTCCGGAAAGCCGCAGCACCGCGTGCGGGAAAACACCGACCCCGATCGATCCGCAACTGCCTAAACCCTCCAAACCAACGACAAGATAAGTTTGCAAGTGCCCCAACCCGTCCTGGGAGACGTCCCGGATCAGCAGCCTACAATTCACCAATGCCGAGGGCGACAGCTTAGTCAGGTCCGGCACCTTGAAAATGCCCTTTCCTGGCATTGGGGCCGTCTCCACGAGTCATCACTGCAGCAAGAAACTTCATTGGGAAGAGTTTCGTTTCACACTGCCTCGACGTCGTGGGCCTGTACTGGGCTAACTACATTGGCCATGCTGATCCCGACAAGGAGCGGGGCGATGGCAGGGTGATGTGCTCCAGCACGCTCGCCGCACAAAGCTCTGCAACAGCGAGGCCCTCAACATATGGGGCAGTGGTCAAAACATGGAGGAGCTTATGCGGACAAACACGTCCGTCCAAGTAAGTAGGTTTTGCCGGTTCTCATGAAAGGGACTACCCTAATCCCATCGAACTCAAACCTCTCCAACACTCGTCTCTCTCTCTCCTTCGGATCGATCCGAGGCTGACGTCCCTGCAGACGACCTGGGACGAGGCGAAATTTTGGCTGTTCGCTTGGGACAAGTACCGCCTTTGAACGCCTGTCCTCTGGAAGAAAAACTGACAGACTGATGTACTCAAGCCGACCCAACCCTGGCTTGATATTAGGTCAGTTTGTCTTGGCAGTTGTGTTGAAACCAGAGCTTTTCAGTCTAAAGGTGTTCGAGCTCAAGCTGACACCCTATGCCGGAGAGCGCAGTCAATGTCCTAGGACCTACGACCTAGGAGGCACAGTCTTAGCCAAAATGCATGCACCTGACCCCGGGATTGTGACCACAGAATCTTGCAACCTGCATAGTGCAGGCGCACAGGCAGGAACGTCCTCACGGCTTTTGGAGACAGACGCGAACAATGCAAAGAAGCAACTGGAAAGCAACACGGCATGGTACAATGAAATGGCGGCAACCGCAGCAGCTGTAGCACATGTTCAAGCATTCCCACATCAAGCCACCTTGCTAGCCAGTGCCGCTCAGACACTCAGAACTGATAGAAGAAGTGCGGGAATGACCCTTGCATCCTTTCCAGTGACCAAAAGAGGAAGCCCTGCGATCTCCTGCATCAGAGCACAGTGCAAAGGGCGTTTAATATGGCCGATCCAAACCAGAATCACCTGTCACCTACAGCTCGCAAGCCATGTATGGCAAACGATCTAGCACCCAAAACGGCTGGCAAATGGCATGCTATCTCCATGTGGTTTGCCAAGAAATTGCCTGCGTCGCACACCAATCAGAAATGACGTCTGCCATCTGCGCAGGCTGCTTGAGGCCGAACTCTCCTCCGACCAATTGACTTCCGACAAGAAACATTCATGTTTCCGGGACAGGTGGACACACAACAAACCAAGTGCCACTAAACAAGTCACGTGCCCCTGGCTCAACTCGAACTCCTTGGTCCAAGGCACATTGACAATCAATATCTTTTCACACAAGGTGAACCAACACCTGTTGCCATCAGTACGAAGAAGTGTCTATAAGTCTACGCTATATACCCGCAGTGCCTCTCCTAGCAGCTTGCAAAGGAGACATGCAATAGCCCCCGTTTGTTCAGAGTTTATGCTGACTTTGTTATCGGGATTCCATCATGCCGGATTCACATCTACTGCCTTTTGTGGAAGAGGAAACGGTCACCGGTAGGATGAATTCTCGAGCAGGGTCTGGGATCGAGGGGATCCCATAAGAGGATACGCATGCCGCGGAACCCCGGTACGCGCATGGGGCAAGGTGCCATGCGTCACGTGGTGATCTTCGGCCTAGGCCGATGCTGTCGACAAGAACTTTGTCTTCAGACTGCAAGGCATGAACACATCACTTCCATCATCTTTGGCAGTGAATGCCATGCGTTTGCTTGCCCTGTGCCACTTCATCGCGTTGCTGACTGCCCGAAGCCTGGTGCCATTTCCGGCCTTCTGTGTCAGGAGGTCTGGGAAACCGTGCAAAGCAGTTTGACACCTGCCTAATGTCAGACTTTTGTACACCACCGGTGCAACTGCTATCAATGGTCCAGGTGCGCTTTTCGTCACTTGGGTCAACGGTGTCCATCCACGAGCTCGGACTGCTCATACAATTTGCGAGATGGTGCTTACAAGCAGATGCAGTGACCGTGTATTCACTGTGATCATGCATACGTCATAGGTCTTCCAACGATTGTGAATGGACTCTGAAGCATTCTGAAGCACCCATTCGCGAGGAATTCCCGCCGCTTCAAGATATGTTGAGTTGAGTGAGCATCAAGTGCTTCTCTCTGTAGATTTCTGCTCCGCCATGGGCTAGCCTGAGGCGGCGACTTAGTATTGCAATAGCTGGATGCAGTTGTAGGATGCCTCCCACCCTGATAGAATGGCAAGCTTCGACCCGGTTCATGGCGTGTCCATCCCTGCACCACTTGCTCAAACTCATCGAGACAGGCCCCGAAAGAGCGGAGAAGGAAAGGGCAGCAGTTGGGCAGAAGCCCAGGCCACCCCGAAACTGCTGCTAAGCACCTGGCCTTGAAGGCCTAAACCCTCGGCCCTCAAGTGCAGGGCCCTTCGGCACAGATCTCCTGCAGCAGCGAGCAAAGCTCCGTGAAGCAGTCGCCGACGCTGCGAGCGTGTGTGGCTGCACCTGATTTGGCTCTGTCAGCTGTTCTCAGCAGTTGCAACGTCATTTCTCGACAATCTCAGAGCTGCACCGCGCAAGCGCCGACCACGCTACCTGCTGTGCCGCAGAAACAGCAGGTTTTGCCCGAGCCACCACACCTTCGCGAACCCAAGCATCAAAGTCAACACTTGCTTACTACTGCGACAACAACATCGCACGGCAACAACCTCTAGTTCCGCAAAATCTGGCCAAGACTCCTGTGGCCCGGAGCAGTGTGATTTGGCTTGGTGCAAAAGATGCAAGCACCTGTGCAGTTGCGCAGCCAGATTCGCACGTAACTCCTTGGCAAATCACCCTTAGAGCAAGTCCGGAACACTGTGCTAGCCGCAAAGCTCCTGACGTGTCCGTGTTCAGGTCGTGGCCTGCCCCGCCATCTTTGCTGTGGCCACGCTCAATGCAGCTCGAAGCAGCCAGGCTTCTGCCACAACCTGCCGCGACGACTTTTGTCCAAAACCTTTGTACTTGCCTGAGACTGCTGTCCCATAACTATCAGAACGTAACTATCCTCATTGTAGTCATCTCTACTGTCCGGGCAATTCATGCACTTGTGTACCCGGGTACGGCTTGATTCCTAGATCATGTGACGAATTCTCTTCCAGTCCAGGCGCCGTTCGCTCTGGCTTCACAAGGCCCAGCGGCCGCGGCCGAGGCCCAGCCAAGAGGCCACCGATCAGAAGCCCTGGCAGTAGCACAAAACCGGCGCCGACAGATTGTCGCAGCAAGGTGCAAGGCACAGCCTTCCGCACTACAGCCACTGCACTGCACCTCCTGAAGAGAGCTGCAGTGGTCGCCGAAACTGGAGCCAAAGCTGTACACATGCGGAGGTGGCGACCAAGCACATCATGTCCGTGCCCCTGTCCACCACGCTGGACAAATCTGTCAGGGACAGCTCAAAAAACTCACAGCTCCGAAATGCCAAAGGATATCTTTGCCGATATGTTAGGGCTCCTGCTAGGTTCCTACAGTACGCTGTTTTTTCCATGCCGGGTGCAATGCTGTCTTCCAGCTCAGGCCCGAGACCTGCTATCGTAAAATCGACCGGTTGCAGGTATTAGCTTCTCCTGGCTCTTGTTCCGTCCCAAAATGTTTCTTGTTCCGGAATCTGTGCACGCTCATACCATGCCGTCACGCAGCCATGTAGCTTTTGCTTCATCTGACAAGAATGCTCACTATGTTTCAGGATGACAAGGTATCACAAGCCAGCAAGCGCTCCCGCATCACCTCCAAGGTCCAATGTGGCCACACCGTTGCCTTCCAACCTTTGAACAACCATGAGAACCATACAAGGCGGGTGGCTGGGCACACAAACGCAGTTTCGATACTATTACTACACAGGCCACGGCTGCGCGCAGGCTGCAGGATGATCAATGCTCCACAAAATGTACATCTTGTCTTGCCCAGCAACCAAGCATCGCCGGTTGGCTGCTCTCGGCCGCGACAGGTTGAAATCTCCGGGCGATGCACGTCCAGAGCCTTCTCACCTCCGCAAAGCTTCGGGCTCTCTCCAACCACAGGGCTGCCCAGCGGACTTGGTGTGACCTCAAGGCCGTGCCAATGCAATGCAAAGGAATTCAAAAAGCTCTGTGCAAATCAAGGGACCGAAGGCACTGCTGTGGATGGTGTCTCAGGCAGGTCCAAATGTTTCCTGGAAGAACGGGTGGCTCCGACAGGCAAGGCTACGGTTACTCAAACGGTGCCTATGGACTGTGAAACTTCCAGGTCTATCAAGTGGCAGAGGTCTCTCAAAGCCGCCCTGCTCCAGGAATGGCGGCATGGCGATGCCCGAATAAATCAACAAATCAAGAGGTTTTGAAGGATGCTGTTCGCCACTCTCGAACGCAGAAGCCCTAGGGCTCTAGGGGCATGGCAAAAACATGGGCGCAACTCGGCGGCGAGCAGGCTGAGCCAAAAGGGCCGGTTGATGCGCTGCCTTATTCCCAATTGAATTCACTTGCCAGACTCTTCTTCACCAGGGACTGGCAAAATGCCCGTGTACAGACTGCTCTATGCCGGTGCCTCGAACTTCTCTTGGTAATCTTTTGCTTGGAAAGCTTCAACAAGGTCCTGCGTCTGACACAGCAGCTCCACGGCTCCGTTGCAGATCGAGCGACAGACAAAACAACACCGATCCAGAGATGAGCCTTGATGAGGCTCCAAACTTGGCCTCAGAGCAAACCAACGCTCTGCTTGGAAGAGTAAGGAAGCCATACATTGTACATCCGTACATCCCGAATCGAAAGTCCAAGGATCGCAGTCGCTCTTGCAAAAGACGGTTTCGCTCGTGGAAACAGAAGTTGGTCACAAAGATGCGCACAACAGGCGGCACGGCTTCTCCTTAGGATCAGTCGGGCGGACGGTGACAGCAGGAGGCGACTCAGCTGCTGGAAAGGAAGCCAAGAACCCGCTTTGCCCATTGCTGAGATTCAACGATGTCCAATCAAGGCTGTGAGAGCAAAACCACCTCCTAGCCGGATGAACAGGAGAAAAAGCTGAAACAACGGAAGCGTTTAGAGAAATGCAACGACTCCATACAATCAGGTCAAGCACTTCATTTCACTCATTCTCGGGTGTCCATTTCACAATCCAAGTTTCGGTCCGAGAAGAAGAAGTCCTCCGATCTCAAAAGCAGCAAGCTCTCAAGTACTATCAAGCATGACGCCAGTCCAAACACGAACCACGAGAATGACTCCACAAGCAGACCATCACCTGCTGTGGTTTCAATGTGTATATCACGCGAGCGTCCCCAGCCTTTGAACAATTCTTCAAAGCTGTTGTGCTCTTCCCACATGCCTTGACCGTGCTCGAATGGCCCCAACAGTGCGTCTTTCTATCGGGCAGCGTTCCTTTGGTCAACGTCAGCTGTGTGATGCCATTCGAAACACTGGTCCTTCTTTGATGATGCTTCGATTTTCCATGACGGGGCTGTCGGGCTGTCGGGAGCAGCGCGTTGTCAGCTTCGTGGGCTCCAGTGGACCCAGGAAGAAGACCCGAAAGAGTCTGGAAGGCCGGCGGCAGCCGAATCTAGGGCGACTCAGGACGGCTCTTTGAAGAGCGTTCTGCCTGTGCGGCCCTGACTTCGAAGTGCTTCTATCTGCTGTCCTTTTGAAGCTTTCTCTGACAATACTTGCGGCATCGTGGCCGCCAGACTGTATTTAGTTTTTTTGGGTGTGCAAGGCAAACGGTCTGCATGCCCATCAACCATGGCAGTATCACGATGTGTCTGCTTCACGAAGCTTCGAAAGAAGCGCATTCCATAGCAACCTGTCTTGAGCTGTTGGATTATCACACGAAAAGCTTCGTGCCACCCATGCGCATGATGTGCTCAGAGTTGTGCACTGCTTTCACCTTTCGAATGGAAGGCAGTGTCCAATATGAACCATGTATTCCGACCAAGCCAGGAGCCATAGCCGATGCCCGATTGGGCCTTCTTCACTGTCTCCCCCGGTCCAAGCTCCGCAGTTCGATGTTCGTGGAGAACACTAGCAGCCTCGGGCGGGTCACAACAACAGCAGGAAGCTCATCATGAGCAGGGCTTGACTTTCTTTCAGGATGGGCAATAGATCTGTGTTGGGGTCGTGGATCGGGCCTTTTGAACGGCTGATGCCAACACACTAGTTTCTTTCCTTGTCTTGTCGAACCTTTTGTTCCCAACGTGCTGTGACCGGTCATTTCGTGCGGATATATCTTCAGGACTTCTAGAATAGTGCATTCCGTGAGTTCAGTCCCGAATAGCTGCAGCATTTGTTCGACAACCAGGCCTTAAAACCAATATCTGCAGTCTGGCCATGGATGGAGAGAGACGTAGCTTTCCTGCGAATTGATCCACTCCAATGCGCTGTCAAGTCCAACGCAAACCCGCTGCTTCCCAGAGCTCCTGAATGCGAACTCCACTGGTGCATCCCGCCGTACAACAACTTCGGCACCCATGCCATGAGAGTCCTTCGTCCAAGGGTGACGAGTGACGGGGATCACACAAAAAACAAACCGCTGCGCCAGCACACCTTCAGTCCCATCACCCGCACAGTGCTTGTGTTCACAAGGCAACGTGTGTTAAATTGTGTCAAACATGGAGTCGTTTGCCGCAGTTTCACAGCGCTTGCCCAGCACCAAGAAGCTTCATGCTGCCTCCTCGAGCAGAATCTGACAAGACATAGATGCCCTGGGCTACCTTCATCATGTTGAAATCCCGCCCCTCTCACTGTACCCCCACCCCACCCCCACCCCCACACCGCGGTTCTGATGCAAGTACGCGTGCGCCTTCAACACATCCTAGAAGAATAAACTCGGGAACGTCTCATGCTTCCACTGAGATTCCTAAAATGCACCAAGCCTGAAACAAGAAGGTCCCCATCTCCAGAGCAGACATCAACGCCTTCCCAGGGCTTTGCACTTGTTCAACGATGTTCAAGGTACATGACTACGTGAAGATACGTGAAGCGACGACATGTCGACCTGGCACCCCGGGCCTTGAGGCGACTCAGTGCATCGCTGCGCAGCGGCAAGGCTACCCCACGGCCACTATGCCGTCGAGGCAGCGCAGGGAAGTGCCGGTTCAGGCGGACGAACCTGCAGGACTTGAAGCGATGCTCCAACAGTTCATGAGATTTTCTTCACAAATGGGCTATGCTTGGCACTGTTCCCTTTACCTTGTGGAACCTTGACTAGTCGGGAGCGTTATCTTCGTGTCTCTTGGCTCAGCAAGATTACGTGACTGGATCCTCCATCTCGCACCAGCAAAAACTTGGGGTTTGCAAGTAGAGACAGATTTGCAGTGCAAACATGGATCGCTGCGGCCCCCAGTCACTATTTACATTGCCGATCTCGCACAGTTGTCGCTTTGCAGACACATCTCTTGTTACTGTCCGAAGAAGCTTCCATGTCACTTAAAACAAACGAGCTCTGCAGCTGGCCTCACTCGTGAAGCATCGAAGTCTCCTTGCGTGGCCGTCTGTGCAGGGCTCCAGCATGAGGCTCCGAAAATTGTCTGCCTCATATCACCCCCACCCGGTGCCGGACCTGCAAAAGCTTCGGCCCTGCGTCGGCCTTCGGAGCCTGGATGTGACTCTCGGGAGAAGAAGTGAGATCTCGAATCCATCAAAGGACATCAAAGCTTGGCTCAAGGCCAGGGCTGCAACCAATCTCCAGCACGAGGATTTGGCCTTAAACGGCTAAGGGCTCTTCCAAGACGACTCGCCTCGCTTTCGTAAAAGAGCAGGGCTGCAGCCCAGGGACTGGCGGATGAGCATCGCCCGTGCCAGGAAAGGAAGCGAGCTTCTTGAGCTCGGCTGGCAATGGTCCGGAACTCCGTCTGGCACAGAGCATACTGCAGCTATGCGGGCACACAACAGCAAAGTTACCTGGCACCGAGGTAAGCACTTCTGACTACACGCATGGGCTTCTAACTTCGTGTATGGCCCGGCCTCATCATTTAAGCGGATAGCCGGTAAGGCAGGCTCACCGCACCTGCAGCGTATCTCAGGCCCTGTGCTAGGCCGCCGACGAATTCGGATTCACCTGCAAAGGCAAGGCCGAGCAAGGCAGCTAAACCATGCCTCGGGCAAGTTGGTAAGCTGCGTCGCTTGCTAGACTCGAGCAACTCCTGGAGAAAAAAGGCCCAAGCCCCCACCCCCCACCCCCTCAGCCGGCAACTGGCTATCGGCAGCAAATGACTGCAGCATACTGGAGCCTTTCTTCGTGTTTCCTCGCCTCAGGAACGGGCCAAGTCTGCCAGCAGGTGCCGGAGCAGCGAAGCTCCTGGACACGTCCGCAGCAATGCTTGGTACAAAAGAAACACATGCGTAGACGTGCCAGATTCACAGGCATCTTCGGTAGAAAGCAGATCAAAAGATATGGATGAGTCTTGCAAAGAAGCCGAACTCCTGCACCGTTCCATGGGATTCCCACAGAAACTCGTCGGGCAGGGTCGAAGCAGCAAGACCGTCCCAGCAAGTTGTCACAACCTGTCCAGCAAGCGGTACGCTGACGACGTGCTAGGCAAAAATGCAGATGCAGTATTGAAGCAGTACAACCCTCGTTGGCCGAGAGCGTATCTGAGCCCGGCCGGACCCACCGCCCGCACAACCGGGGTCTGACCTGGCGACCGCCTGGTCGGCTGCCGCGGCCGAGAAGTCGAAGGTATTCAAACCAACTAAAAGCACTAAAGAAGCGGTGCGCTAACGAGGTAGTGCACCTGGCCGGACACACCGTCCACCAGAACCGGGGTCGGCGGCGGAGAGCGAGCCCCGGCGACGCAAGCCACCCCAACGTGGGAACCACACCTGCCACACGTCGGCAAGTCCTCGACCGCCCACCGCCTACAGGTCCTGAGACAGCCCGCCCACCCCGCCGACGGCAGCTGCCGTCGCACCCAGAACACCGATCATGAACAAAGGAGAAGCCTGTTTGAGCCGGGTTCGGGACGCTGTTTGGGTGGCCGCCCCAGTCGGCGTGGGCGAAGTCGAGGACCATTGAGTGCCCATGCGATTCAGCGTGTCGCGAAGCCGTGGTGTCGGGACGCGGAGTCGCGGACACAATCGCCAAGGGCTGGGCGATAGTGCGCTAGAGGCCGAGACGGTCGCCTTCTCTCCGGAAGTCCGCAGCACAGGTGACCCAGGAAGGACAGTCGCTGGAATGACCAAAGCAAGGCGGGGCGAAGCGAGAGGAAAGCTTAGCAGCTTAGCACTTAAAAGCATGCGAGATGTCAAACCTATGTTTGCCGTGCGCTCGAGCTGAGGCTTCCACGAAAGATCCTAAAGCCACTCGGAGAGCTCCAGG